CATCCACACCGACACTCACATCCACCCCCATCCCCAAACCGGCACCCTACACCCACACCCACCCACACCCACACCCCACACCCTCTCATTGGAGGACGAAATTGCGTACGGTAGTTAGAATGACGGTGCAAATCCTATCAGAATACAGTAATAGCAATAATTTTAATCATTTCAATAATTCCAAGAATTTGAATGGTTAATAATTATTGAAACTTGATCACATCTCGAGAGATCATACTTGCATAGAGGTTGTAGATGTATGTAATATTCTTTCAGATTGAAAATCTTCACAATGAGAATCACAACGATGAAAATTTCGAAAGTTGGCTGTTGCTGATAATTATAGTCAAAGGAAGAGATCCATACCCTTATCGGTCATTTTTCTTAAAATGTTAAATGATAAAATGATTCCCTTCCTTCACTCATGTTTTTCTTCAAATTAATAGATTAGTTGTTCATATATACTCTGTAAATCCTATCGTATCATGATTGTCGTAAAATAAATCAACATGATAGTCTCAACAATAAAAATCTTTTATTTTCGATAAATGATTTTTTCTTTTCTAGTACGTTACCTATACTAAGTATAAATCCATAAAACTAAATCATCAATTTTTATATATAGAGTTATGCACGTGATATAAGTTTGACTTTGAGTGCATTATCAGAACGAAGAATTATTTGTTCAGTTGGTACAAAATCTTTATAAGTTTGACTTGTTGTTAGATGAAATCGACGAATTATTGCTGAAAGAAACACTTTTTCTTCAAGCAAAGCAAAACGTTGACCTTTCATAACAAGAATAAAATTAATATAAATACGATTTTTTTTTCGAATTTCCCGACATACCAATACAATTTCGTGGACCAGCAGAAAATGGAATATATGCATAAGGATGTCGTTGTTGAGTTAGTTCAGGTAAAAATCGATCAGGATCAAATTTTTCTGGTTCAGGAAAAAATTGTGGATCACGATGAATTTCATAGATAAAGATTACAGCTGTTGTACCTTTCAAAAATGTTTTACCATCTAAATAGAGAATGATTGAAAAGAAAATGATTTAAAGAAAAGTAGACCATATTGAAAAGTTTCTTGAATTTCTCGTCCAATTATAGGAACGGATGGTAGAAGTCGTAATGTTTCTTTAATAACACATTCAAGATAATTCATTTGTTGAACATCATCAAATGTACATGCACGTTCATTATCATTTTCTGAATATATCAAATAATATACGTATATCATAAAACTCCATCGAAAGATTTACCAAATATGCTTTGAATTTCTTCAAATAAACGTTGTTGAATATCCTGATGAAGTGCAATCATAAATAAAGTAAAATTAAGTGCAGTTGCTGTTGTATCATGTCCCTAAAATTCATCCAAATCATAATCGAAGAATATATATCAAGAATTTACTCTAAACATTAATGTATCGACTTCTTCTTGTACATCATCAATTGACATTTGTTCATCATTCATTTTTGCAATAAGTGTATCGAGAAATGCCATTCGATGTCGAACATCAATCGACGAAAAGTTAGCAATACGATCTTCGACTACCTAAAAAAAAAGGAGATTTTTAGTGTACTCAAAAAGTGAGTACACTATAGAATAGTCAGTGTGTCCGTCCGTCCGGTTGGCTGTTTACATGATAAATTTTGACAGCAGAGTCAGATTGCAATGAAACTTTCTATACAGCTTAGTCTTGACAATGTCTCGGTCGAGTTCGAAGATGAGAAGG